CCAGCCTCGGGGCCTAGGCCCCTCCGTCTAGCCCCAAGCCTACACAGAAGCAACACGTCAAAAAGAGTGCATCGAAGTCTCCAAGTGGTAGAGCAGTGCGACCTAGAGAACATGTCTTTCTCTTAAGATCTTGGCCCAGTCATGCTCATAGCTTCTAGTGTTGACCTGAGTGTGCGACCACATGGCCGAGCCACAGACCTGCAGTCGCTTCCTTCTGACGAAATTGGTTTGTGTTGTCGTTTGGGGTTTGATCGGTTTGTCGGGCAAAGGATGTGCCTCACCCGAAGGCACTGCGCCCGAAGTTGGCGAGGACCCCGACTCAGGCATCGATAGCACAACACCTGCGTACACAACCGCATCAGCAACATCAACGACGGCTCCTGGTTTGAGCTTCGCAGGCATTTCCTCAGCGATCTCATTCCGGGAAGGAGAGGTGGACGTTGCCTGGCTTCCTGCCGAGGACCAAGAAGGCAATCAAGAGGGGATCGAGTATTTTCTTCTCTGCGGTGATGGCGAGCTCAACCTATCCGAGTCCGACGTGCAGAGCTTGGCTTCTCAGACTTCCGACATCCTGAGCGCTTCAGTGTTGTCCTTGGGGGACAAGCAGGAGGCCGTCCTTGGAGGTTTGGAGCCGACATCCGTGGTTTCGCTGCTGGTCTTAGCGAAAGGGCCTGCATATCAAGGCCATGCGCACGAACATTTCCATCATCACCACCGGCATTGAGCTACCCCTTGTGGTCACAGGCATGTGTTTGACAGGCACGGACAGTGATGGCACCGCCTTCCTTGCCTTTGTGGATGATGTCTCAAGCTTGGGAAACACCCTCGTGGCGACAACACATGATGCTGCCCTCACGGAGGTTTTTCGAACCCTGCAGCTGGATGCGACTATGGACTTTACAGGAGGCGACAGGGATGCAGGCAGCCGGCGCTTGGCGGTGAAAGGTGGTGTGCAGGTCACAGAAAATGTGCACATGGAGTTTGCTCAAAGCATTGCCCTCGATCCCTCTTTTGAGGTACAATTTCCCGGGTGGCACTTTGCCCTGGATATAGACTGGACGGGTATCAACTCGCTGGAAGTCACAGCTGGTCTTGCATGGTCACTGGGGGTCGATGTCAAGTATGCAGGTACCCAGGCTCTTAGTAAGCATAACTGAAGACAACAACAGATAAAACAGAAGCCACAGTTGTAGAGGGCCTCTCAGAACAGCCCAGGTATGAGCAAGATCAGTTACAAGTTGTTGGGCCTTCCGATTGCTAACAAGAGCTTCGGTCCATGGTTCATTTACCCGCCGGCCGTATTTCTTCGCCTGGTGGCCAGCGTGGACTTCGAGGCTGACGTGTCAGTGTCCCAGGACCTCAACAGCGTAGAACTCTGACTTATGACATCCTGTACTTCAAGGCTTCAATGGCTCTTATCTTCGGATCCCTACTTAACCCCTGTAAGGGGGAGCCTGCTTTCGGTTTCAGGACCTCAATATGCAATATCGGGGGCAATTCTGGCAGACGCAGACGGTGCATGTGAGCTTTCGAGATGGCGAGTTGGACACCAGACACGAAGACTCAGGCTTGCAACAAAAACGTGAGTTTCTGGAAGAGGCGGGCATGCGCCAAGAGGCATTAAAAGGTATTATTGAGCTAAGCGGGTCATAGCTGAAAGCATCTGTGGATTCTCAACAAATCATGGTGCCCTAAGCCCTAAACCCAGGTGAAAGGCACGGTGGAAACCAGCGTGAAGGTGAGCTTCAGCCTTTTGGCCCAACTCAGCGGCCTGCTGGGCTTGAAGTTTGCTCTAAGCCCCGGCATGTCTTTGGGTATGGCCGTGGCCTACGACACGGAGAACAGCTTCCTCTAAAAGGAGGCGCCCATGAAAGGCGCCCATGTGGAGGCTTTGGGGGTGTCTTTGACCTTGGGGCTCGGGGTGACCCTGGAATGCAGCGACGCCGTTGCCTGGGTCTTATCAAAGCTTTGTAGCTACATCAAGGCCATTGACCTCTACAAGTGGGATGCGACGCCCGTTCCGGTCCTCAGCCTGCCCAGCCTCGAGCTTGTGCAGGAAGGTTGCTCAGCTCAAGCTTTACCTTCACGGGCCGAGGAGAACGAGGAGTACCTGAGGACGTCGTGCTAATCACGGGGTTTGCTTCTGTTGCGGGTTCGGTTGCCTGTTGTCTTAGATTTGTGCATAAGTGCGATGGCAGTTCAGGCCTTGCAGATCACGGGGACCAAGCAAGAAGCGGAGGTGGACTTGGAGCTCATCGGCAGTCTCGCCAATCTCGCTTTGGGAAGTTGGGGAAAGATCTATGTCTTCTGGCAGCCTTTCCCCTTCGTGCAGATCATGGAATCTGTTCAACTAACGGCCTGGGAGCTTGCATGGTGCACAGCTACTACTACCAGCACCAGCATTGGCAGTAGCAGCGGTGAGGGTGGAACTCCTGCCATCACCAGCCCGCCTCCCGGAGAAGCAGTTTGCGGCTATCAGGAAATTACCTCCTGCCAGATGCAGTTGGCTATGTCGGTGAACTCAGCATCTAAGGTTTGTGAGACCGTCCAAGGGGCTCTGGGTTGTTACTCGACTTCAAACTGCTGTGATGCCAAGTACGGGATGATTGACGTGCCAGCCTACCTCGACACTCAGATCAGTGGCTTCAGTGTTTTAAACTGCGATCTTGCCAACCCATGCCGGCGGTGACGGCATGCGAGTGTGGCTGCATCAGTTTTCAATGAAGCTACTAGTGTATGATTCCTCGTATTCGTCTTACTATCATAATTATTATCATTGTTTTCGTATTTGTTTGATTACTACTAAGGTTGTTACTGTTATGGTGAGGGCTGCTGGAGTATGCTCTGATACAGGTGCCCTGCAGCTAGCGAAAGGCACATGTCTCTCGTGATCCAAAGGTGGAAGACCAACAGGACCTCAACACTAAACCCTTATACCCTAAACCCTAAACCCTACACACTAAAAGCTGTTTGCTTGGTTTTCCTCAACCCCGAACCCCGAGCGCTAAATCCTCGAACCTAAAGCCTGAGCCCGAGACCGGCTGCAGCCACTCTTGTTTGAAAAATGTCAGCTGCCGCGACCGGGGCTCAAGCTGACCAGCCGATGAGTTTCACAGTTCCAAATGTAGGAACTTGATCAAGACGCCCGCCCGGTTCTAGGTCGCCAGTGTATCAGGATCCATATGTCAGTATGAGCCCTGATAAGAGCAATGTGAGTATGAACCCTGATAAGAACCATGGCAATACGATCCAGACTTTGCTACGAACCTTGAGAACCCCAATGCGAACCGGGGGGTTTCTGAACCAAGGTTCCTGCGCGAAGGCCTGTTTTAGCGCGCTTCGGCGAGCCGGCGCACGAGACGCCTGCAAAGAGACTGCGTGGGTAGGGGGTCATGATCGCAAGCGCCCCCAAGCTTAGTTTAGGGTTTAGGGCTTAGGGGTTAGGGTCCCTAAACCCCAAACCGTCTCTATTCCCAACTCCCAGATTTTGAAACAGCTTCCCCGCAGCCTTGCCGTCTGAAAGATCTGTCGCCCGGCTTCCGAGCCAGCCCCACCTAAACATTCAGCCCAGTGCTGTAAATTCTGCGAGAACCCTATAGACCAGTTGAAACCCTTAAAGCAAACCGTCACAAACCCCATGCAGCCCTCCCTAAGCCCTTACCCTAGCGCGAAACCCCAAACCTCCAAACCCCTAAACCCCTGAGCCTAAACCCTCCCAAACCCCAACCCCTACCTAAACCTCTGAAGCTTTCTTAACCTTAATGCTTCCCCTATGTACCCTATATACCCTAAACCCGAAAGCTCAAACCTTGAACCCTCCGAAGCTCTAAACCTCAAACCTTAAACCCTCCGAAGCCCCTAAACCCCTTCCCCTATGTACCCTATATACCCTAAACCCTAAAGCTCAAACTTGAACCCTCCGAAGCTCTAAACCCAAACCCTCCGAAGCCCCTAAACCCTAAAACCTAAACTCTCCCCCAAAACCGCCCCCCAACCCTCGTAGGTCTTCGTTTCTTTGCTTCGAGATCGGCTGCCGGCGGCTCTTCGGCCGCTCGGGGCCCTGAGGCCTCGCCCCCCGCGTTCGGCTTGAGGGTTGAGGGTTTAGGGTTTAGGGTTGAGGGGTTTAGGGTGGAGGGTTGAGGGGTTTAGGGTTGAAGGGTTTATTATAGGGTGGAGGGTTGAGGGGTTTAGGGCTTAGGGTTCAGGGTTTAGGATTTCGGGTTTAGGGCTTAGGGTTCAGGGTTTAGGGTTGAGGGTTTGGGGTTGAGGGTGTGTATACAGTGTGCGCGCGCGGTGGGTGCGCCTTTTGCTTTAGGAATAGGGGCGCACCCATTTATCGCGCGCTTGCGTCAGCATGTAGTCCCGCCCCAATCACCCCGACTATTCTCAATTAGGGTTTGGGGTTCACCCCCCCCAAAACGCCCCTCCAGGGGGCCTTTCTTGCTCTCTGCTTCGCCTCGCAGCTGTGCATAAAATGCGCGTTTCAGATTAGTGTCGGGTTGCGGGTCCTCACGGCCTGTGCCGGCCGCTCCGGTCGGGACCGCCCTTTCAAGGTGCTTGGGTGGGCAGGGCCGCCACGGGGCGGGGGCGGGGGGCTGGGTCGCGCGGCTGGCCTCTTTGTTGGCGAACGGCAGAGAGGTCAATAGCGGGCACTACAGTCCTCGTATACCGGGAGGCTTTACCCTCCCTCACCGTTCTGACGGGACGCTGGGCCGGGGGCCTTCGAGCGCCCATGCAAACGGTCAGCGGGGCTCTCGTTTTGGGTTTAGGGTTTATGGGGTTTAGGGGAGGGTTCAGGGTTGAGGATTTAGGGTTGAGGGTTTAGGGTTTAGGGTTGAGGGTTTAGGGTTTAGGGCTAATGGCGTAGGGTCTATGGAAGCCTAAACAGTTGATAGAGTAACAGTAGCAGTAGTAGGAAAGGCGATAAGAAGAGCAATACCAGAGTCAGAATAATAGTACCACGACGACGACTCCTATTACTGCTGTTATTTTGTTTTTATTGCTATTGATACTTGTAAAATTAAAATCACAGCAATAAGTAGTAACATGTCCCTATAGTCACTAGGTGGTATAGGTACGCTAGAAATTTCGCCAATGCCCCATTGTTCAGGTCCTTATATTCGGAGTTGCAAGCAGATCATCTGCAGCATGTGAGCATGGTCGTAAGTCCTTCTAGTCGTAGGCCTGCATTGATGTTCGGCTTGTAGTGTCTAGTGGACAGTGGAAGTTTGGGTCGCAACTTAGCAAAGACGGAATCCCTACATCCTTTGAAACCCTAAACCCTCAACCCTAAACCCTAAACCCCAGACCCTAAACCCCAAACCCTAAGCCCTAAACCGTCTTCCCTCTTCTGGCCCCAGGCCTGCTGTCCAGCCGTCCGGCAGATGTCCAGCTCGGCCTCAGTGATTCAGCTTTCGGAGTGAGACTGCCGAGCGCGTCGAAGCTGTCTGTTTAGTGCGCGCATCTCCGACCAAAGTAGCGCGTCGCATGCTCCCCGCCGTCCACGCCCCCGCTCCCAGAGCAGACGCTGTTGTATACCCAGCCCTTGCCCTCAAAGGTAGATGTGAACCCCTAAATGCTAAAGACCCTCACAGCTGAACCCCTTTGCGCCCGACCCGTGGGAGCCGGGCTCCGTCCTTCCCCATGGGGATTCGGGCCTTCTCCACCGGCGAGGGGGTTTCCTTCAAGTTGCTGCGAAGCTCGGCCAGCGCCCTTGGGTTCAGGCTCTGGAGTTTCGTCACTTCGGGACTTAGAGTTTAGACCTCGGGCCAGGGCTGGCAAACTTGGGTCAGGGGAGAAGTTTCGCTGATGGCTCGAGGCCGCACTGCCATCAACCGCGGTTGAAACACCTCTTTCACGGAGTGCTCGCTGCGGGTTTGCTGGGTCTGTGCTCAGGAGCTGAATCTGGCGCTAGGTGACTGGGTGGCCAAAGGTGCCAATTTGGGTGGTGACGGGGATTCCCTTTGAATGCATCGGACGCCGTGATTCGCGGTGGAACGTTGGGAGCCATCGATGCACGACATGAGCCGCGGCAGGTGCAACTAGTCTGAAATGCATCAGGCGCTGTGAAGTACGATTCAACACCTAGCATTTCCACACTCTGGCCGACGCTGGACCAAGATGTAAAACGATGCAAAGCGGCATCAGCTCGTCTGTGCGCCTCGATTGAAGCATGAGGCTGCCCCATGTCAACTGCTCCTGCAGCGTCTGGAAAGGATGTGCCAGCTTCCGCGGGAGCACCGCGTGATGTCGGTTTGGGGCTTAAGCTTCCAAAGGGTGTAAGATCCTAAGTTAGATAGGAGACAAGCTGGCTGTTGAAGAGCCGCATGCTTCGCAGAAGGAGAGGCCATTCATGCCACAGGTGGCCCGCTTCGCCAGTTACCGGCCACTCGTTCACCTGCTCGGGTGTCTCCTGCCAAACTTGCCGTAAATCCTAAACTAAACCCTAAACTTCCTAAACCCTCCAGGCTCCCGGCTGTGAGAGGGGATACTGGTCTGCTCCTGCCGCCTAGCGGCCTGGCCTTGCAGAGTCCGAATGCCGTTAGAAGGCTAAGTGGCCGAGCCAGAAAGACATTGCAACCCATGATGAAGCTACAGTTTAAAGTAGTTGCAGCTTGTTGCGTGGCTCGGACTGCGGTGGACTTATTGCCGGCGCAGCCGGCACTTCGGGGCTCCTGTGGTAGCATCTTCCGGAGGCAAGGGCGGAAAGGCACAGCGGATCATGAGGGGACGGCAGATGCAGAAATGGCGAGGGCGGCAGCTCCTTGATGCCAGTCCTTGCGGCAGTTAGGGTAGATGGAGGATCTTCTGCACCTGTTGCAACGCGCAGGGCCCAATGTCATTGTTGCAGCCTGAGTCTGCGCAAAGCCTGAGGAGCTTCCAGAGCATCATCGGGCTGTAGGAATGGACGAGCTGCCTTGGTTTAGCACAGCCGCGAAGTCATGATTAGGGCGAAGGGTGCGATAGGAAAGTGTCGGCAATCCTCAACGGAATCATTACAGTCCGAACCATGGCATGACGATTCTCTGGCAGAGTAGCAGCGCAGTTTAGTCGCAGGCGGCTGTGAACGAACCTCCGATCGCAAGAAGGTCGCGCTGTGTTGCAGAGCAGCAGTGCCTAGCCCTTACTTCAGGAGTCGCCTTTGTGGAAGCCGGGACTTCACACAACACGCTCTGTGAGAAGCAGCTGCTACACTGCTACAGTTGCATCCCGGTTCTGGGTGCCTCAAAGAGGCAGATCTAGGTTTTGGGCACCAGAGGTAGAGGCATCTGAGGCTCTGGCGACTCTGGGCCTCTGAGCTGCGCAGGTCCTAGAGAGGTGGTGCTTTTGTTCAGACTCCCGGAGATTCTTCAAAGCGGGGGGTCCAGCGTTCTGAAGTCCGGGGCCCGAGTTCTCCTTAAGGCCCCATCTTCGGCCAGGTGACGGCCAGGTGCACCCTGGCTCTGTGAGTCGTCCTTTGCCTTGCAGAGCCCGGAGGCTCAAGGTTCCGGTTCCGGGAGGTTTTAGAGTCTCAGGTTCTTTAGGGTTCCCCTAAACCCAAAACCCTAAACCCTAAACGCTACTACCAGGCCTCGGCCAGTTCTGAGGAGAAGCGGCGAGGGCCGTCGTAGCCTGCTCCTGTTGCCATGCGGATGCTTCTTGTCTGGGCAATGTATGCACCCAAAGCCCTTCCGTGTTCTTCGGGTTGAG